GCATGGGAAAAGATATGTTGACAAAGAGTGCTTGCTGAAGCATAATTGGTAATGCTGACACGCAGCCAATAGAACGCGTACTAGAGTATCAAAGTGCTATATCGACGTGAAAAAAAGCTGGTCTTTGAACAGGGCAAAAGCCACCAAATCATCCACCACTAAGAGAGGCCACACTCCACACGCCAGTGACACCCTACCCAACCTTCATGACCATGCGCTGTCCTATGCACCCAAACTCCAATCCATCACTGCTGCTCACTCCCTACTCCTCCATCTTCTCTCCCCCAGCCCCATTAACAACCCCCGCATTCCCATCCCCCAAATGCTTCAACAACCAACTCCTCTTGAAATACGTATTCGGATGCACAATGGTATCCAAATCACTCCCACTCCAGCTCCCATCCTGCTTCACCTTGTTAATCTCCTTTTTGTGACTCCATTCAAATACGCGGTTGCACGCAACATGGTACCGCTGCTTGCCCACGTCCTCCTTGACCACTTTGAGCACATCGCGGTCGTTTACGCCGACGCGCTGAAGCATCGAGAGCAAGTTGTCCGGCGTGAAGGTGCGGTAAGGACATCCATGGGACTGTCCCGGACCGGGTAGCGGCTCCGTGAGGAGTTTTTGACACGAGTAAGGGGTGTAGCCGCGTCCGCGCCTGTTTGCGTCGCCGCCCACGTCGCCGTAGGAATGTCGGATGTTGTATTTGTATTCTTTTTGGAACTTCTCGTCTGTTATCAGTTTGAAGGAGCGCCGCCAGAAGACGAGACATTCGTCTAGACTCAGGCCGATGCCTTTGAGGAACAGGGTGTATTGGAGCCGGCCAAAGTGCTTCAGGTGCGATTGGTCGCGCAGTGTCATGTGTAAGTTGCGCATGCACAGGGGGAAGTTTTGGGACAGGGTGTCGATGGAAGCAGCGGTTATGGTGCTGAGGCCTGAGATGTTGGCGTCGGCGGTGGTGTATGCGGCGTCGGGGGCGGTGAAGGATTGAGAGAGGTGGGCGAGTATGGGAGCAAGGCGATCGTCTTCGTCGAGGCGAGGGAGGGCGCGTGCTGTTAGCTAGACAGTCGTTAGTGACCTTGTTATGGAGGGATAGGGATGGCGGTATGGGTACCTCAAGTGCTTCGTCGAGCTTCTTGGTAAACTCGGCGACTACCAGACTCATCTGTTCTCGTTGCGGGACGTAGGCCATTCCTCGTTTCAGCAAGACCTTTCTTTGCGACACGAGTTCGGGGACGCGCTCCCAGTCCACCTTGAACCATTCCTGGTCTTCGCCCTTCTTGATGCCACTCGCAGCATGCAAGTCCTCTCTCAGCTCCCTCTTCTCATCTTCCCTGACCTCTTCCCACTCCAGATTCAGGCTCCTTACAAACTCCTGCCTCTCTCTTAAATCGTCATCCTTGAATCGTAGTGTGAACAGCATAGTCTCCAGTCTCGAAAACCGCCGTCGCAAGTCCTCGGTCGAGGAAAAGGCCAGGCGCAGGATGAAGTGTGAATAGTGGTCTCTCCGCCTCTCCTCCTGTAGTTTCTGACTTCGCGACGAATCTGATCGCAGCGGGAGGTACTTTTCCAATATGCTCTTCATGTATTCGGCCGTCTCTTCTGGGCTCTTGTTTCGGAAACTGCAGGCTTCTAGTTCGGAGAGGACTGTTTCGGGCATCGTTAGCGAATCCTCCGGACTACATAGCCAACAGACTGACCCTTCAATCTGTCGATAGCCCAGGTCTCAAACTCGTCCAAGGTGATTTCTGCTGTGGGTGGTAAGACGTAGAAGTTGAGCCTGTGTTCATATTTCTGCTGTTCAAAGTCCGCTTTGGCGAATTGGCGTCTCTTGGGGTCGACCTGCGCGCGGCGCTTGGGGTCGACGCGGGAGTAGTCGTGGCGGATCATGGCGTTGTAGATATGCTGCGTATTTCTGCGGCGGCGTTGACGTTGCGGAGGTTGATCATGTTAAAGTGGCAGGCGCGTTCGCGTGGACGCGCAAAACACGCTAGCCAAATATAGCCAACGCGCGACTCGCGTGTCCTATTGGCTCACCATGAACATTATGTCTTGCATGTGCCAGCGGTAAAATATTTGTACATAATCTTGATAGGTTTATCTAAGGCTCCTGACATTTGTATAGACGTTCTGAGTATCATCCTGGTTTTCTATCGACCTTTGGCGGCCAAGTTTCATAAAGATAATGCTCTATATCAACAAATCGTATTACTCTAAGCCGCATTCTCTTCACGTCTTGAAGATATCAATTGGAAACGCATCAGCAATCGCCTGGTAACCCGCGACATTTGGATGTAACCCATCACCCCCATTGTACTTCGGATCCAACTGCTCGGTATTCGCCTTATTCGCGACCATGCCCGCAATATCAACTGCAAAATCATAGTTCCCACTCTCCAGGATCCACTTGTTCACCCTTTTCCTCGTCTTCTCCCTCTCAGCACCCTGATAGCTGTTTCCCGCAAAAGGCGTAATCGTCCCACCGATCGTGGTGTAACCAGCTTTCTTCGCATCAGCAGCGATCTGCTTGAACGCTGCGATGAGGCGATCACCGATGGAGGTTTGCGTGGCGACATTATTAGCACCGCCCCCGATATCGTTGACGCCTTCAAAGACCATCACCCATTTGACGCCGGGCTGATCGATGGCGTCGCGCTTGTAGCGAGTTAGGAGAGGTGGGCCCAGACCGCCGCTCAAGACTGTGTTGCCGCCTGCAGCTTGGTTGCAAACGGCGACGTTGGTGTGGTTGGAAGATTGGAGTCGGGCGAGTACGAGGTCGGGCCAGCGATTGTTCTTGTTGTCATCTGAACCACGTCCATCGGTGATGCTGTCGCCAAGGACCATCAAAGAGTTGGTGTTGGTTGGTACGTAGGCTTGAACGGCGCTGACGAAGTACCTGTAGTCCAGTTAGTATGCCACTCTTTACACATATTACATTATTGACATACCAGTGCACACTGGAAGTTCCAGAGAAAGTCGTAGCATTGACCTTGTTTCCACTCACAAACCAACTAGTCGTCCTACTGCCCGGATGACCAGTGATACTGCTTCCGCTCTGCCCCTGCTGACTGTACAAGCTCACTGTGAGCATGCTCTGCGGCTTGACTTCGAAAGGAATTTCATCGCTGATAACAACCTGGCCCTTAGGCACAGTAAAGCTGCTTTTTCCACCAACAGTGATGGCTGCCAGTGGCGAGGCTTGAATGCCACTAACACCCGCCGCACCGCCTACTGGAAGCCCAACGGAACCTGCGGTGATGGGGAGATCAGAGCCACCAAAGGTGTTGGAGATCGTGATCTTGATCTTCGGGGCGCCGACAGACATGTGAAGGGTCTGGCGGAGTGTCGCATCTCGGAGAACACCTCCGGAACTCTATGATCATGTTAGAATTGCGAAGATGTATTTAGAATAGTGTGGGAGTTTGCCATACGTATTGCGCTGGCGGCATGTTACTCGCTTCTACCAATTGCGGCATGCTGGTCCAGGTGTTGATCCAATGCGACGCATCTTGTCGCTTCTCGACAGCTTCAATCGCACGCCCATTGACCGTCGGCGATATCAAAGAAAGCGTCGCTAAAGCGACAGAAAGGAGTGACGTATTAAACATCGGGACCTGGAATGGGAACACTAGCGACGTGAATGACAAGGAAACATCGCGGCATTCGACTGGCTTTTGACCACTTCATCTGGCATTTCGAAACAAGCCTTTGCTCGGTCACATTGCGTACTGCAATTTATCTCCAATTTCAGTAGAGGCGGCTGCTTTGTCAATGCGACAACCGCAAATGATGTGGGGAGGCAGTTCTCGAGCGAGCGGGCGTTTGGAAGTAATTAATTCCGCAGGGTATAGGATGATCGTGTTATAGCCACTGCCTTTTGTCCTTGGTAGAATAGCCGGGGGCTTAGACCAACTTGAGACCATGTCAAGCGTTCTTCCACGAATGAGTACTTGCATATCTTTAAAGATGGTCTTGAACGACAATAATGTATATCACAAACTCATGATTTCCACATTGCATAGCATAGCGCTCTTCTAGAAGGTAGACATTGAGAGCGAGCAAAGCTTGATCCCAAACGCGTTAGTCCTACACGGCGCGCTTTGATGCCCCGCCCTTCATGTCTGCTTCGGTTCCCAAAGTAGTACTTGAATACTGATGTTAGAGAGCTAGCGCAACAGCAACGTGTCCTTATTCATGTATGTGCTGTGGAAAATTCACAATGTCCAAACAGAGCAATGTCGGAGATGACGTCATTTTCCATGTGTCTGGGCTGGTCAGCTATCAAGTACAGCATCATTGGATCAAAGAAAAGCTTTCGTGTGCGATGTAGAGTATGAGAGCACAATGAGATGAAGACGAGTCGAATTCGTCGAAGGACCATCCCAGCTGACCGTGTGAGGTTTAGACGCGCACGTTCCACAGCTCTCTCATCGTTACCGTCATTCCCTCGCTTCGCGCTCTTCTTTGTCCATCAAACCTCCAAATGATGTCTGGGCGAGAATGATCTCAGTTTGATTTCCACAGCGTTTGGATCTCTGATCTTTGTGTAGCTGCTCTGGAACTATTTTAACGTTGTGAAGCCAGGGAACATGCAGCGGGTAAAGGCTAACGAACTCCAGCTTCGTGCTGGTGGTCACTAGAGCACATCGCGTAAGTACACTTCAAAAGGTTATCTATATCGTCATGCTGAACATATCCTAAGTAAACATTCAGCAGCTAATTCAGTCATCGTGCACATGCGCCTCCACACGCCTATGCCACAGACTGGACATCTGCCGAACTGCTGGTCAAGCTTGCGCAATCTCTGCAGGAAACATGTTCCATGTATAATGCAACCACAATCCGGCAGAAAATCAGGTCGTTCTCGTTCATGCCGAGAATGCTGACCGCACAGCTGGCATTGCTCAGCACGTGCAAGGTCCATAGGGGAAGCCGCTACAGCATGGCGAAGAAGAAACTCCGCTTGGCAGGGGAGTAAGTATGTCGCGGTATGGGGATTCTACTCAAAGGGTGAGCTCAATCTTGCGGTCTTACGTGCGTAATTGAACGTACCACTGATGGTTTGTTCGTGCTGGAGTCTGGAGTGCTTGGCTTCCGACTCCGATGCTGTGTCCCACTCCCGTCCCTCGAGCTTTTTCAGCGTTGCAGTGTGTCGTCGGCGTACGGGCGTAGCCGGAAGCTCCACCGGCGATCTACGATCGGTGAGTTCTGCAACCAGAGTCTTATTTCCTTCATCGCGGTCGAAACATGGAAATTCGACCTGCAAACTACGAGCGGGAAGGTCTGCCACTGGAATTTGGCTCGCCATATCTCCATACTTCTCATAGTGCAGGCGGTCTCGGTACCACAAACCATTGTCGAATGGCAGAGATTCACGGCTGGTTGTGGTACCATAATCATCCTCTTCGTATCCTCCGTCCTCTTCGTAACATCCATTTTCTTCGTGAATACCAAGAGGATCGCCAGGAACCGGGACACTTTTCATCGAACCAGAGTCGGATTTTGGAAGGCCGCCATCGTCGCCATAGCTACCAGGCACGACCCCTGTTGCTTGAACCTTAGGGGAATCTGGGAACTCCAAATCTGGAAAACGCTTGAGCAGCGCACGAATGGCTTTTTTCTCGTATGCTGAGCACATTACACAGGTAGTGAGAGCTAAAATGGCAAGCCAGTCCCGCGTGCGCGACGGATTAAACACATCCGTATTCACAGCTGTACCTGCCTCGTCTTGGAACTGGGACGAGGAGGCAGACGAAGAAGCACGCTGCGTCAGGTTCAGTGCTACTGAAGAACTTGCCGACCTTGATGGTGGAACGGTGCCCATGGGTGTGCTGTAAGCCGATTCTGCACCGGGTCGAGCCTTCGAAAGCGATGGATGAGCGGGCTGCCACGCTTGAGGAAGCATCTCTTGCTCACATTCTGGTGTTGCTTCTTGTATCGAGGCATGACCACGATGGTCTGGCATGACCGAAGCTTTACGCTCGGCTTTGTTCCGCACTTCTACCTCTGGCGATATTGTTGGTCGATGCTTCTTCCTGGTGTCTTTGAACGTCCTCTGGTGACCAGGCTGGTCTTGTACAATGGATGAGTACGGAGGAGGTGAGCTGTAGTCGAAGGATTTCCACTGCTTCTTCGTAGCCGTGAGCTCGCCGCTGTATGCGCAGAAGAACTCCGCGCATCGCTCGATGATCTCAGGATGTCGAGGCGTGCCATAGTCATGGCTCCATGACTGTAAACAGCGACAGACAACGTCCTTGTTTCGATTGGCATAATGAAACTCGTCAGCATAGACGCCTTCCATCTCCCACTTAGCGTCTTGCCATTCGTGGTAATCTTCCAAGTCGGCAATGGCGCATGATTGAAGATTATGGCGTTCTAGATACAGCGTAAGATCTGCACTCAGATGCCTCGATTCGAAAGCCACGCAGGAAATTCGCACGGAATGCCGCCTAGGGTTAGTACATCGGCAGACATATGTACGTTCCTTGCCAACGTAGTGCAGGATACGTTCGTGTGGTGCCAGGAATGAGGCTGACCGATGAGATGACCCTTTCGCTCCGCGAATCTTGACATCCCCGGTGCGCTTACTACGCACGAAGGCGTGATCGAGAGTGTTCCTCAAGAGTGATGGCATCTCGACTCGAGGATCTATGTGTGCGTGAGGACAGGTCAACCAGAAAGCTTTTTGGATTAGCGAAGACCCAAGAAATATGGACAGAGGAGTTTGATCATCTCTCGCGACTACTTGTGACTCGAATGTCTGTGCAACTTTCCCAGGCTAAGGGAGGCAAATTAGGCACTCCTTTTGCGACCTTGTGCACGGAGCAAGACAAGGGATAACGTACTCAATGAGATACGATATCGAAACCGATATGGAGCTAGGCACGCACAATGCATTTGATCGCAGCCGCTGTTCAGTCGCGTTGTGCGAGAGATGTGTACGTATCTTAGACGATACGCCTTTCATGACTTCACAATGTCGGCGCTTCAGGTTCAACGCTCTCACTTGCCGTGGATACAGAATGCAAACCGTGACTCACAGTCCGCGAGTCTGGAAATAGGATCTGTCAACTACTGTTTATGATAGCGACAACTGCACTACTAGACTATCGCCAGAACACGAGAGCACTCTCGAACCTCTTGCTCTCTATGTCTCCTGGAGATTCGTTTCATCACCATCATCAAACAACCCATCCAGGTCTGAACTGTCTAGCTCAGTATTTTCTTCCGTATCGACTGGCCCTTGTGCATCAAGCGGCAGTGATTCCTTGATCTTCTCTACAAACGCTGCCTCTTCGTCCGCAATGCTAGATGGTTCAGGACGCTTCAAGACAATCTTCTGGTCCTGTGAAAGCTGCAAAAATTTGGCCTGAGAAAGCCTTGCTGCCCACCACTCCTTAAAGCGTGGCCAGTTAAGCCATTTCTTACTCTGCTCTAAACGCAGACAGTCATCGAATTCTTGCTTGTCTCGTATGGTGATCCGTGCAATGTTTCAATCAGATACGAGTCGCGCAACAACTACATCAGGAGATAGTTTAGATGCTATCGCTTCGTACTGCCCATGTGAGTTTGGTGTCGAAACAGATGAAGATCCAGACATTGCATCTTCTTCGAGTAATTCCTGCTGCAAACCTAGTTGCTTGTTCTTCTCCTGGCTTACCTTTGTTGTGTTATCCGTCGAACTTCCCTGTTCCTGCTTCTTCTTCCCTTTGCCACTTCGCTCCGTTTCTGCTTCTCCATTTCCTGATCCTATTTCTGCTCGCTGTCTTTCTGCAGCGATATGAGCTCGTTTCAACGCCTGATTCTGATGTGTTGGCCACGTCATATGACTCCGATGCAAATCGCCGTTCTCGATCAGGCGCTCAACTTGTGACTTCCACGTACTGATACTCCTATAGATCGCTTGCTTCATTTTATGTTCATCCAGCCCATTTTTGCAGCAAGGCCACTTCCTTTCAAAACGGTGCATGCATTGGTATATACCTTCTTCGTTTGGAGTGAAGTCGCTGATTTTGTCCAAAGGGTACGATGGAACCGTGACCTTGTCCAAAGGATGCTTGATCGTGTCTGGCTTAGGTGGCTTCTCTGGCAGTATCGACGGTATATCGGAATGAGATATGGGGCTCTCAACCTTTTTTGTGTTGTTGTTCCTTGTAGCCGGCTGCTCCGTTACGGGCACTGACTCAGAAGGAGGCACCTGTGGCGTCTCGTCGTCCAAAGTCATACCGACAAGCGGCGCACCGCAAGCCCTCATCTTTGATTGCTCGAACGCATCAATCATCGCCTGGTTGACAGGGGTCTCAATGGCTTGCTCTTCCACTTTCTGGTCCCAACACCGCCGTCTATGTGTATCGACAATGTGTTGGAATGAACCCACCCACTCTTTCTCTTTCTGCAGCAAAAATGCTTGAAGATTCAGAATCCACGCCCAACGTCTCTGAAACTCTTCGCTAGCCTGGTTGTACCTGACCATTTCACGTGCTTCCTCAGTCATCATACGGTACGCGCTATAGCGTAACAAAGGCGAAAGGGAGCGCAAAGACCACACCTCAGTGGGAATCAGATCATGATTGATGCCAGCAGAACTTCCTAGGGCGCCTTGCTCTGTGGGAATACCAGGAACAACTTCGATAGTATGACCTTGGAGGTCTGCTTCCGCTCTAGAAAGCCATATGTTTTGCCTAGCGTAAACATCTTCCCAAGCGGCTTGCTCAGCAGGTATGGAAGCCGGAACATCTTGGCCATAGCCTGCTGCAGTTAGGGCCAATACAAGCCTCTCCTCTATTGGCTGTTCATGCAGTTGAGAGTTTGTAGCAATCGAAGGGTGCAAAGGGTAATATTGTCCTTGATCGGGCGGAACTTGAGGTACAGGTAGTCTTAGCACACTCATAGGTTGCTCATCCGGATGGTAGTGATGCAGATAGTCTGCATAGTCGTAGCTCCGCTGGGAAGCTGGCGGAGGCTGGTAGGGTACTGTGAGGCCGTACTGTCCATTCGAATCTCTGTATGTGGGGCCTGAGACATACAAGTTATAGGGTGGAACTTCATGGACTACCGCAATCTCGTTGCTATCCGGTAGGCGTGTGTCGGGTATGTCTGGATATGCAGACTGAACTGGAAAAAGCGACGACGATGATTGTGGACTGGTTTCCAAGAATTCCGCAGAGTAGTTGTTGGAGAAATCGCTGGGAGCTTCAGTGAGCGTCTGGAATTCACTCCGACATTGTCTCTTCGGGGAGTGCTTTATGTCATCTTCGCAGGTGCCTTTTGAGGCGCGCAAGGAAGCTGGGAATGTCGGTGGCAGCCATGCCATTGTACAGGTACTTGAGGTGATCGTACAGATTGTGCAGTTGATCTCTCCTGGATTTCACTTGGTATCACGATGAAGAAGGTCTCGGGACAGGTTGTGGTTGAGAATGCAGAGATTGTGCTCACAACGAAGGGTTAAAATCATCGTAAACTTCAAACCTAACGGTCTTTCATTCAGTCTGTGTTGTTCCGCTTTGGTCGAAAGAACGGTAGCTAGGTACAGTCCATTCGAGCTCTCACGCAGACTCGCCTTTACTTTCACTTCTCACCAGAGTATCACTACCGCCCTAGGAATCTAGAATGCTCTAGTCGTACTGTGTACGTCCGCTACAAACAGAGCTTCGACTTTGAAGTAGAGCGCAATATATACTAATCTTACTCAATGCTGTAGTACTTAGGAACGTAAACTCAACAAGAAAATAGCTTAATTCCAAGAAAGCCTTATTAATTTTTTAGAGAAAGAATAAACAAATTAAATATAAGTATAAAGCTTTAAGTTTAGTAATAAGTATAAGAGACGTACTAGTAATAGGATATAAGTAAAATCCTACTGTAAACTCTTTGTAAGTTTAAGACGCCTTACTTATTTTAAAGTTCTTTACGTAACTTTAAAAGTTAGTAAGTAAAGTAGCTAAGTTAGAGCATAGCTTAAAGCTACGCTACTATATATTAGCTGCTTTACTTGCTAACCTCTGTAATTAATATAATTACAGCTGCAGCTAATAATAGATGTTTTTAGTTTAACTAACTATATTTTATACTTTTATTCTATCTGTTATAGCTCTAGAAGCCTTGTAAGCAGGGTAATTATATTGTTAATTTAGATAATATCCTATTATAGTCAAAGGATATTATTAAACACCTATTAAGTAACTTTATTAATTATAAATAAAGTAAAAAGTATTATATAGTTTTAAAAAGCTACTAAAGAGCTTAATATTAAAAGTTAAAGTATTCTAAAACTTTATAATACAATTAGATTTATAGACTATAAGTAGTTCCATTACAGAAAGATACTAATAACGGTATTTAATAGTAAGTAACTAGATTTCTAAACTAAAGTATTTAATTCTTTAACAGTATTTGAATAGTAATATGTATATCCTTTTCTTAACTTCTATAGTCTAATAGTAAGAATTCTTATTATACTTAGGCTTACTATTTTTAAAGTATAGTAGTTTTTACAAAACTATTAGTTTATAGAATATCTTAATCCTTTTAAGTTTAAAAGTAATTATTTCTATAAGTTTACATATATTCTATTATAGTTTTATTTTTCTTTTTTCTTTTTAGTGTTTAGAGGCTTCTAACTTTATAAGTATACTACTATTTTGCTATATAATTTTGTAACACAAGCTATATTAAGCACTTAACTCTATATTTATAATGTATAATAAGTTAATACTATAAAGCAGTTTTTTCTTGCTTTAGTAGAACGTAGTTAAAGTAATTTAAATAAAAGCTATATATTATATTTTTTAAATTATAGTACTATATTATATTATATATTACAGGCGTATTATAATTATATATATCTTAGTACCTGTAATATTACTTATTAGATTATATATATATAAACTCCTTTAACAAAGTATTAACCTAGTTTAGTTAGCTATATTATATATTTAGTTACCTGTCTTGCTTAGACTAGTACTATAGAATATAGATTGTAGTAACGTTTATATATTTCTATAGTTTAGTAAAAAGCTTAAATATTTTTTAATTTTTATTAGTTATAACTATAGCTGTTTACAAGATGACTATAGAAGACTTTTAAGTAGCTTCTAGTAAATCTATTAAACTTAAAAGAAAAAAGGTTATTAGACTATAGTATTATAATATTATTATTTCTAAGTTATATAAAGTAATAAGGTATAGTACTTAAAGAAAGCTTATAAAACCCTATAATATAGCACTTAAGAAGTAGACAGTTGAAAGTATATAATATATCTATACATTCTAACGTTATAGGCGCTAGATATTACTATTATATCTATAATCAATTTGTAACTATATCTACAATTGTGTTTTTAGTTCTTAAATATTATACTAAAGTCTACCTTTTTAGAACAGCCTTTAATTATAGTAGGTCCTATCCTAACACTAATTTTAATAAAGTAATAAAACTTTACAAGTACTTTATATACCTAAGAGTATAAAATACTAAGACAATACTCTAAGTTTATACTTACTATATTCTACACTAATAGAAGAACCTAATACTAGAAATTACTATGTAGCTTTTAGCCTACAAGCTTACTTGTTTATTACTAGTAGCTAAAGCTATTAAGAAAGAATATACTATATTACTTATAAACTAGTAAAAATAGAGTTATTTATAATAGAAGCTATTATACTTCTATATAATAAAATTAACAGTAAAATGCCTTATAATTATAGAAGAAAGAACATTTCAAGAACGCTTATATAGCTAAGAAAAATAGCTTATAGTTCTAGTTCTTTATAAACCTTAAGAACTAAGTTAATGTCAGGCCTAGCTGACGATATATACTATCCTGCACTATGATCAGTAGTTCACTGATCATACGTACCTTTTTAGTTGCATGGCGTAGTGGTGCAGGGCTGCGTCCTGACAGTTAAGTGTTTTCTTATTTACTTTTGAACAAAGCTACTCTACTATTATAAATTCTTGTAATTCTTATTTTTATCTTTATCTTTATTCTTCTCTTTTATAAATTAATTAAATTAGCTACCTAACTATACGTGTAAATAGATTAGAAGAGTTTTAGAGATATTAATAAGTTAGATATAACTAATAAGTAAGCGGCGGTAGTTAGAGACAGAAGAATAGGAGTAGTAATAGATATTAGCATAGTTAAGTTGTTTAGCAGGGCGTGTTAGGTAGAAGAGATAGCTAGTACTTATAATATTAACATAGATATATTAGTAATAAAGTAATATAGTATTGTACTCAATTCTAATAATGTAATATATATAGCCTAAGCTCTAAGCGCTAAGCCCTACATTTAGTATTGTTGTTGTTCTTATACCTACAAAGAAATTAGTAGTAATAAAGCTGTAATAGTAAGATAGTATATAATAATACAGATATAACTAATAAGTCAAAAATAGAAAGATAAAGTAGTATTATAAACTAGTATAGTTAGGATATTACCTAGCTAAGCGTGTTAAGCGGATAAAACAGCTAATACTTATAATCTTAATGTTAATGTATTAGTAATAAAGTAGTATAAAAGTACGTAGTTCTAATAGTATAATATAAAAGGCCTAAGCTCTAAGCGCTACGTTTAGCATTATTATTATTCTTATACAAAGAGATTAGTGATAATAAAGCTATAATAGAATCCAGACTTTTAAATTACATTATGTAGGATATAAAGCTATTTTAATAGTGTAAATCTATTTACCTAAAATAGAAGATAGTATTATAGTAGGATTAATAACAAGGAACAGCTATTTTGAGGAATAAAAATAAGGTATAATACGAAGCTATTATATAAACAATTAAAGAATAGAATATCTATGTAATTTAGACACTAGATTAAATATATAGAAGTATAAGTATATATTGTATTATAGGATTGTGCTTTAAAAGTTCTATATTATCAAGTTCTGTAAGCTCTTTATAAGTACTATGTTGTTTCTTTATAATATTACTTTAGAATTATATTATTATTAAAGTATAGTCTAATAAGTATTGTTTATAAGTCTAATAGGCTTATTAGAAGTTACTTTAAACTCTTATATAGTCTCTTTGTAGATAGCTTTACTAAAAACTAAATATATATCAAAGAATATTATAGCTTCTTACTACTTTACTAGATTACATTATATACATAGATAAAAGTTTCTCTAGTTGAATTATATAAGCCTAAGTATAATACGTAACTAATATATATTTAATATAGCTAAATAAAGTAGATCAATAGCTTTTAAAACTATTTTCTACTTTATACTAGCAATATATCTTACAATAACTACGCTTATACTACAAAGAAATTTAGTAATATAAGATAAAGGTTTAGTTTAGAGTATTTTACCTTTAGACTACTTTTAATAAAACGTACCACTTAATATAAATCTATTATAGAATTTAAGTAAAATATAGAGCGCCTAATATAGCTAATATTATAGTATTAGAAAGTAGGAGTGTAATAATAAATGTCAGGCCTAGCTGACGATATATACTATCCTGCACTATGATTAGTAGTTCACTGATCATATGTACCTTTTTGGTTGCATAGCGTAGTGGTGCAGGGCTGCGTCCTAACAATAAACGTAAAGGCTTTTAGACGCTAGTTGAAGAAATGTTATAGTACTAAGTTAAGTAATTGAAATTTCCTAAATATTAAAATACAATAACTTGGTATTTATATACTTTTGAATAGAATGATATATCTATAATATTCTTAACGAATATTATAAGTATCTTGTAGAGTATAGTTTAAGTAAGGAAGTAAATTAAAGTACACTATACTCCTTAAGTCTAAAGGATATAAGGTAAATGTCAGGTTATATATACTATAACTACGTTCTACTAACTAATAGAAATTTAAACACCTTTCGTTATTATTGTATAATAAATTATAAGCTCTAAGTAAAATACGTAATATAGTAAAAACTATAAAATTATCACAAACTTAGAGTATACGTATAAGTATGAAAGAACTTAGACACTATAGAAATAAGAAATTATACTTACTTTCTAGAATTCTAGATATATCTATATTCTCTAGAGGTTTATATTAGAATAATGTTTTATTCAATATTTATATAATTTATTTATGCATTTAAGGGAATAATATATTCAACTAAGTTAGATAATATCTTACTCTTTTATAAATGTTTTACTTTATAACTTAACTTGTGTTTAATACAATCTTTTAGTGTAAACTAAGTATCTTTAGATAGAAACTTATAAGCGCATTCTTTATATATTTTTAACAGAAATTAGGGAATTACCTATTATACTT